ACAATTTCGATTATCCAATAATATTTTTCCCATGTGATGAGATGATCTACAAAAATCAGCCAATTACAATGAAAGCCGCTATGCTATTGGCTAAATTACTAGGATCGTTAGTTACTTTTTTAACCAGGTTAAATTTCAATCTTACAAATTTAAATTTTTATCCTTATATTTTTTGGAAATATTTTTAATAAAGTAATCGTTAAGAAAAACATGCAACTCTAAAAATAGATTTATAATACCTTATTTTTATATTTCTAATTTTCTTTTAAAACTATACAAAAAACAATTGATCTCTTAATCACAATAACATCCTTTATATTCAAATTTATAAATAACATATATCAATAGTGTAAATTAACACTGAACACATATACATTTCACATAGTTACAAACCTTGAATGTACTGTACGTACGTACGTACGGTAGTTTCCGAAAATCTGATTGGCTTGTAAAAGTGACTGGCAAAATTTCCATGTGTTTACAGATGTATTGTATGTCACATCATTAATCACTTATCGTTATGCATCTGTACCATGTTTAATAAAGAAAATTTGAAATTCGAGAAATAGTGTATTCATACTTATTGTACATAGCAACTTTACTATGATCAGATTTTTATTATATTGATATATCAACTAATCGATTAATCAACGCTATTTTGATATATCAACTAATCGATTAGTCAACGTTATTTTGATATATCAACTAATCTTAATTTGTCGCCGAAATTAAGATACAGAATTATGTTTATGTTATGTATTGTTTTAAAATAAAAAATTGAATTGTTAAAGTTTTCTTTGATAATTTAAACATCATGTAATTATGAAAAATCTGTGCTATATGTTCTTTTTTATAGGACATATACATAAGTTTACGTATTTTTATTGTTTTTGACTAGTCTGAAGCATTCATCAACATTTTAACTTGGAACAAATCAAAACTGGCAATGGAGCAGAAGCATGTATTTTTTGAGGTCATTTGTCGTGAAAGGCAAGATCAACCCAGGTAATGCTGCGGTAATCTGTTGTACAGGTCGTGAAAACTAGTGGGAGAATCACAAGAATTTAAAGAAATATAAGATTGGTTAGAATTTGTAGAATTCCACTTTATGTGAATGTTCATTATATAAAAGAGGTGCTTCCTCCCAAAAATAAAGATAATTATAAAGTGACCTGAATTAGAGCCTTGTCGGAGGTCTCTTTTTCCAGCACCTAATCTGTATGATCACTGCTTCAACCTATTCAAAAACTTTCGTAAATCTTTATTCAAAAAGTTTTTAGGAAAATTTTAAGGAACCAAATGTAATTCTATAAACTGCTATATCCCGATACTATATCTCCATTCTTGCCCTTCATTAATAGTTTAATATTTATATAATTTTACATGCATGTAAATTAAAACAATACAGGTTTTATATACCAATTTTGGACATCTGACCAATCAAATTCAGACATAGTAGCAATCAAATTCCAATAACATCTAGCAACTTCAGATATTCCAGAATAATTACCCATTTCAGCAGACTAAGGAAATAAATAAATGCTTCACATTCGTTTATTTCAACTCCAAGTTGCGCCTAAATTCTTTGATTTACAGACGTCCCATTGTCTACAACATTTGTAGGTTTGCATGCAACATTATTTCCTCGATATAATTTTTTCACTATAGATTTTCCTGCACAAAGTTTTATTTCTCCGTATGGAAGATCATCCAATTCTTTTGGATTAATTTTAATTGCTTTCAGGTGATTAATTTGATTTCCTGCGTTATTTAAACCATTGATTAAAAGACCAACTTTCTCATTAATAATCT